TATAGATTCTCCAACCTTGTTCTGTCCCAGGCCACGCTGCCTCTGCCCAGGCAAGGTTTGTGTGTTGCTGAGTCTGAATTGGACCATACGGAGCCGCGTTCACTCACAATTATTGTTGCCTTTGTCATGAATTGTGTTGCGTTTTTTGTAAACACAGCATGACATATTCTGCAATGTGAACACATCTCAAAAGCAATCCTATATTTCCTGAAAGGGCCTAAAAGGTTGTTATATCGTGGCTACCCGTCAATTGTTCCTGGGTCCGACAGCTGCACAGACAAGTCCTTTTCAAATTCGTCATTCGAGGGAATCTGAGCTCCATATGTAAAAGTTCTGCCTATGAGTAGACAATACAGAATACCTACTGTTACATTTATAGGCCAGAAACACTTGGGGGAATTTATAAAAATTGGAGCAGACAGAATCTGGAGCAGTTGCTCATAGCAACCAATCAGCTCCTATCTTCACTTTGTTCAGTTAAGCTTTCCAAATGAAAAATAGAAGCTGATTGGTTGTCATGCACAGCAGCTCCAGATTCTGCCTGCTCCAATTTTGATCAATTCTCCTCCATGTGTCTTCTGTGCCTCTCCGGGGTTTGTTTCACTTTGTTACTAGGGTCTGACTTCCCTGATTAGATAACCCCTGACGATCCCCTGTCCTTGGAACTGCTCTTACTGGTAAGTTAAGAAAAAATTTGGACCCTGGTAGCAAAGTCTAAATAAACCAGAGAGGGGCACAGAAGATGCTTTTCTGGCAAGTAAAGCTAACAGCAGGCATCTTGTGGTAAGGGATCTTAGGCAAGAGTTTTGATGTTTAAAGTTGTTTGATTTTTTTTTCTACATTTGGACAGAGGTTTTTTTTTTTACCTTCTTGTTGCATTGAGGAGATTTCCCATCACTTTCTATTGTTGAGTCGCAACAGGAAGTGAGAGGAAATTTCCCCAAAGTGAGAATTCCTCTCTTATACTGTTGTCACCACAACCTGTGTCCCAGTAACAAGACTTGCCCTCACCACTTGTCCTGGTGACAACTCAAAAATGTGGGATTTACCTAATTTTCTGTTTCAGGTGACAATGGTCACAAGGACAAATATAGAGAGGAATCTACCCGGTGGGGACACAACAATACAAACTATACAGATGGTCTAGCCCTTCCCTACTCTAATCCAAACTAAGAAGAAAGATACACTTTGAGTATAGGTCCACTCTACGTTTTACAATGCGTTGCTTTATATGCTGTCAAGTGCACGCCCACGGTGGCATTTACAGGATAATCGTGCCAAACCCAAGAATGTAAAGAGAGGTCAATAAGTACAGTCACATATTGTGGACACAGGAGAACACAGGAAAGCCTGCCTGCAATTATAACACATGTTATGCACTGGCGGAACTACAGGGGTTGCAGTGGTCGCAATTGCGACCGGGCCTTGGCGTTTAGACTGCTGGGAGGACCCAGCGAGGAAGAAGAGGGCCTCCCCCTCCCCCCCCCCCCCGAGATCGTGCTGCTCCTTCCCTGCCGCTCTGCCACCCGCAGTATGTATGGGCGGCTGTGCGGCAGGGCTGGAGAGGCTGTCACACTAGTCCTGTAGAATGTGCTGCAGGCACTGCCAGGCAGCACATTCTGCTGTGTGAGGACCATCTCCTCCTAGCCCCGCCACCTGGACGAGGGCCCTGCAAGAGAGGGAAGGTAAGTCTGGAGTGGGAAGGGGGGGATGCTGGTGGTATTCTGCATAGCTGACTTTTATTTTAATGTATTGCTGGGACTTGTAGTCCCGCATAGCTGGTGGTATTCTGCATTGCTGTATGATGATTATACAGCGATGCAGAATAGCTTCAACTATGCAGGACTACAAGTCCCAGTGATGCATTATATTTTTAAGTAGGGATGCACCAGTGCCAATACTGGGCATTTTCACGAGTACTCATTTTTCCGACCTCAGCATCTATGCTTGCGCACAGACCAATATTATCGAGTAAATAGGGATTTATTCACAAAGTATTTTGTTTAAATTGTTAATTGTGACCGTTAATAATATTCCACCCATCATTTACTGCCATTGACGGCATATTATTAACGGTCACAATTAACCATTACAAACAAATATTTTGTAAATAAATGCCGGTTTCCACGTTAATCCAATCTGTACGCAAGAGCAGATACTGGGTCGGCATTCTCGACAGAACACCGGCACTAAAATTTGAAACAAGTGCGGTGCCATGGCGGTGGAGGATTGGGGGGGGCCTTCATGGTTTCTTCCACCACGCCTATGATGGTATGATCATTCTTTTCAGCCACGTGACTCTTATTGGTGAAGATAATGTTAGAAAAAGCAATAAAAATCTGATGGAGTATCCAACCCTTCCCACATGTCATCCAGAAATGAAAAACAAAATAATTCTGCCTTGCCTGTGCTACTGACACTAAATGCAACAATACTGCATGGCAGGTACACATTGAATATAGTCAAGCTAATACCAATGTTAAAGATGGAAACAGAAAAGGAGTACAATGTTTTAAAATAACAGCGATCACCGTATATAACCAATTACCAATTTTTACCTCCTTTGGTTTGAAGGAGAGAGAAGATGATAGGGAAATATTCAGCTCTCTAGGACTCTCAAAACGCTACCGGGGTCAATTCAGGAGTAATTTTTTTTACTTAGTGAAGTGAGCTGTTATTTGCTCCATCTAGTCACTTCTGGGGAAAAAAATACTTCTTTAAAGAAGAACTCTGGGCAAGTAAAAACTAACTCTTGCAGTGGGGCTACCCCATGGACTACAAGGGTTAAGGTGACACTAAATTCAGAAGTTAAATCTTTAATGCATCCAAGTACCCTAACTATTACCAAAAAGGTATCGTATTTGTGTATCACTCAGCTGTATATCCTTAAATCCATACATAGATTCACTTTACTTGGAAAAGTATTCCTTTTGTAAGTTTAGTCATAGAGCAAGAAAGGCCCCAGTGCATCATGGGGGAGGAGTGATCAGCTCAGACCTGTGTTTAGCTATAATGAATGGTCATTCAACATGCCACATCTTAAATTAAAATGTCTGCACAGGTACCTGATATGGGGACTCCATACAATTTTGTTTTAATAGAAAAAGTGAAAGTTTTTCAAAGTTGATAACAAGTTATGCTTCACAGCTATTTCATTCACAATTAATCTTTACATTTAAAAAGCAGTGGTATGGCCATAGTGAGGCCTGTACATAACTTCTAATAAAAAAGAGAAGTGTCAAAGTCATGTGACCAGCTCTTCTCTAATCGCAAAGTTCGCTTTGCTATATTAAGTCTATAAAGCACCGCAGGCTCAATACTGTAGTCTGCATTTTATGAATGGATGAAAAATGCTGGCAGCAGGATTGAGAAATACTGAAAAATAAAATGGAGAGCAGATAGCGATATTACTTCTCATTATAAATCGGCGCCAACTTTTTATTTCTGGATAAAAGACCACACACTCTGCATCTGCATTTAATGTGCCCATCAAATATTATTTATTAATAGTTCTCAAAGGAAAACAATTAAAGTAGATCTAAACCCAAATATTAAACTCTCATATAAGATTGAATGTGATATTGTAATTTCAAAAGCCACTTTCAATCCTTTTCGATCTGAAGCTTTTATTAAATTAATACCGGGTGATGCTGCCATAATGGTCCTTGTTCAGGCACTTCCAGATATGAGATGACAACTGTCTCCCAACTGTGCACCTGTGTTGTCACCCTGTCACTTGCACTCCTGGTGGAGATTGTAAGAAGCCGATGGGGAGTAATGATGTGCAGTCAGAGCCAGGAAGTGGGTCAAAGAGGCTGCCAAGATAAATGCCATCCATTCAGGGTTTTTAATTTGAAAGACAGACTGTTGATTTTTCTGATACTTACATTGTACAGAATGTCAGTCCAGCCTTCCATGGTGATGCACTGGAACACCGTCAAGACCGCAAACAAGATGTTGTCAAAGTTGGTAATGCCGAAATTTGGACCTTTCCAATAAAGGCGACACACTGAAGTTTCATTATCACACGTCCGGGCCGGAGGCTCCTCTCCGCAGGGGAAATCACCAGTGGGCTCTCCTGGAATGAAATAACATAACATTTTGTTTTCTTTTCTTAAATCTACATATTTCTGTAGTCTTTTTGGACATTTTCCTTTCAAATATGTACAATTTGGGCAGGTGGGATGATGAATCACTATTTATTAATACAGCCCTCTGTTATTAGATCGTTTCATATAGGTTGTCCACCCAAAAATAATATTTGGTTGCAAGAAGACTCTGGTGGGCTGAGTGAGCCCTTGTTTCTTGAATTGGAATTGGATTTGGTATATTCTACCATTTGAAGACTCCAACAACAGGATCTCCTTGTCATTATTCCAGTCTCTGTTCCTGTCTACCTGGGATGTGGGGTGTTCTCCTCTACCTTGTGTGTTCCACCTCCACCTGTTAAATTTTCCATAATATAAAATATATACAAAATCCAGTAAGTATGGTGAAAACCCCTCGTAATGGCCACAGCAGGTCAGTAGGCCCAGGAATCATCCCAGGGATCTCATCAATAGTGTGCCTGAGAGATAGAAGGAACAGCCAGATGGTTTAACTCCCCGGAATCCACAAAAAGAAAAATATTGTCTGGTCGCACCAGAGAAAAAATTGATTGAAGAATCGCAGTAATAAGGTAAGTAAGCGACATACATCTCCCTCAGTAGAGAGGAAACATCTATCTCGTAAAGGACACTAGCATAAAACGGAGCATTTTCTGGAGTGGGAGGGGTTATATGAGTGTCCTCACAGCTCTGGGCAGTGACTAATAACCTGATTATATCGGAATATTACCTAGTCATCTCTGAATTGCCTGTGTCCTAGACTGTACAATCAAGAAATACTGGTTTTGGGTAGATGGCCTTTTAAGCACACTCAGGAGCTGGCAGGCAGCCTTTATTATCATAATAAAGTCAGGCAAACAACAAGACAGCAACTTCCTGTTTAAGATCTGTTATTTATTATAAACCTTTCCTAGGTAAGCCTGCACAACCATGTTACTTGGAGTCAAATTATTGCATAAGCTCAGTCTCCTTAGAGCAGTGGTTCTTAACCTGTATAACCTTAGGACCCACATTTGTCCTTGGTCATTCAGTTGCGACCCAGGTCACATTGCAATGGAATGCACGAGAACTGAAGTGGATCCTCAGCCTGGGGTCCTGTGGGGACTGCTGTGCTGTAACGGAGCTTCATCCATATGTGCATTGCTTGTACAGCTCCCTTGCGCGCCCTGTAGAGGTGCAGAGAGCCAGAATGTGATGTCACTCTGGTCTAGGCACCTCTATAAGACACGTGAGGGAGCTGTAAGCAATGCACGTATGGATGGAGCTCCCTCGCGGCCATACCCCCCAGCCCACCTCAAGCGGACACTCTGCACCGGGCAGCATATTTTGAATGGCTGCTTGGCGTTAGAACTGACAGTGCTGCATTAAGGGGAGGCAGAGGAGCCTCTCGCCTAGAAAAGTGGAAGGCATTCGGCGACCCACTGAACAAAGGGTCGCGACCCACTTTTGGGTCACGACCCACCAGTTGAGAAACAAGGCCTTAGAGAGTACACAGTATTTGTTTTCACTCTGCTCTCATAAAATGCCATTTATTCCAAAGACGCCTGCCTCTAAATCCTTGGTTCTCAATTGGTGGGTCGTGACCCAAAAGTGGGTCACGACCCTGTGTTCAGTGGGTCGCCGCGTGACTTCCACTTTTCTAGGTGAGAGGCTCCTCTGCCTTCCTCTAGCGCAGCACTGCACGTCTCACACCAAGCAGCCATTCAAAATATGCTGCCCAGGGCCGAGTATCAGCTTGAGGTGGACTGGGATGGGGCTATGGCCATTGATACGTGCAATGCTTACAGCTCCCTCGCGTGTCCTGTAGAAGTGCCTGGACTGAAGTGACTTCACATTCTGCCTCCCAGCACCTCTACAAGGTACACAGGGGAGCTGTACAAGCAATGCACATATGGATGGAGCTCCATCACAACACAGCAGCCCACACTGGACCCCAGGCTGGGGATCCTCTTCAGTTCTCATAAGGTAGGGAGACTAAGAGGATGTTAAAAACATTTTTAAAAATTATAAATTGGAGTGTGTATGAATGTCTGAGTGTGTGAGATTGTGTCTGTGGTTGTATGTATGCATGCCAGTGTTTGAGGGCCCGTTCACACTAGTAGCAATTAAAGCACTGTACCATGCAATCGAGATGTGTTGCATTGCCATTCATTTAAATGATAACCCAAACGCACACCTCTCACCCACAGAACGCGCGGTACCCTAATGCATTCCATTGCAGTGCGGCTTGGGTCACGACATAATGTCCAAGGACAAATGCGGGTCCTGAGGTTACACAGGTTGAGAACCACTGCTCTAAATGAACCTTTAAACAGAGGCCTCTTTGTCCTTGAGCAGAGATGACAATAAGTTTGCTGGTTCAAAATATTGTTTATAGTGGAGAAAGTGGAGCAATGAGAAACATGGGGGATAATCTGTTTAAGCCTTGGCACAGATTCCACCATCATATTAGAAGAATCACGGGGAGAACGCATCAGCGGATTATCTCAAATTATTCTCAATTCTAAAGGTAAAACTCGCTCGCTGGTGTATGCCGTTCAGCAGAAAAAAAGTTATTAACTTGGCCTGACACCCGGCTTTAAGCTCGCTTGATCTGAAAACTTGCGCTGGAAACAGCGAGGCCAGCTTCTGGGAGATAGCTTCTCTCATTTCCTGGAGGTCATTCTCTACTTTCAAACATGGAAATATTAGTCAAAGGGGTAATGAAAGAAGCTGCCATCGGCAGCAACAGAGCCGTCATTGAGATTTCCATTAAGACACAAGAGTTTCAGATAGGAGCTGTAATTATAATAAGGCAGAAGAATTGCTGCCAGTTCGGGAGAAGACGACTGTTAAAGTTTATGCTCAGCAAAAGCCGACTTCGCCATATTTTTTGAGTGAGTATGTCAAGATCAAGTCCTGTTGGCTATTGTGGGGCTTGTGTTCAATGTTCTTAAAGTCTAACTTCACCTTTTACAGTATATCCTTTTGGATAATGTGGGAAAAGATTAGAGCTTCTTTCAGGTTTATATTGTTATCTGTGCCCCTACTAGGGAGATTTCCCCTTACTTTCTGCCAGGACAGCAAGTGATGGGGAATCTTTCCAATGGGGACATAGACAAAGCCCATTTAGGATACAATGAGGAAGGGTTAGACCTTTTGACAACGTTTTTTTGTTGTTGCCTGTGACAACTTTTCACCCCAATTTCAAAGCTAAAACAATATGGCTTAAGATAGGCTTTAAAGTCAAACTCCAGGAAAAAATAATAATTTACACACCACACTGAGTGTGTAAATTATCAATAAAAAGCTGTGTGCTATTTGCCTCTCCCAAATTCCACCTCTTCCCAAGTTTCATGGCTTTTATTGAGAGTCCTACATGTTAACCTGGGCATCAGGGACGATGAGGTACAGATAGAGAATGACACCATAAACTAGACAGTATATCTACCATGGGGTAATAGAGACCCAGGAGTGCAGATACAGCAAGGCACCAGAAACTGGATAGTATATCTGCCATGGGGTGACAGAGAAACAGAAATGCAGATACATCTAAGCACCAGAAACTGGACAGTATATCTGACATGGTGTAACAAGGACCTGGACATGCAGATACAGCTGGGTACCAGAAACTGGACAGTATATCTGCCATAGTGTGACAAGGACTGGACATGCAGATACAGCTGGGTACCAGAAACTGGACGTTATAGCTACCATTAGGTAACAGGGACTAAAAAGTATAGCATCACTTGGGACTAGACATTATATATTCCACAGAGAACCAGGACCTGGAAAGTACAGATTTCACTGGGAGTTCTGGGGTCTAGACAATAAAGTTTCCACCCAGCACCAAGTGGTCTAGGCTGCTCTAGGGACTGGCCAATAAAGCTTCAACTGAGCACAAGGAACTGGGTAATAGGAACTGGGTGCTACAGACTGAGCAGTATATCTCTCACTGAGCACCAGTGACTGGAAATTATAACTCTCCTTATTGAAAAAGAGATGGAACAATTTGAACGGTGACCACAGGGAACAGATAAATATTTCCAAATCTTTACAACATAGACTAGAAAATATTTGTCAATAGGAAAAAATGGACTGGACAATGTACAGTATATTGTAATGGGCAGTAGGCCCAAGGCTCATACTAAATACTGCCCTGTTTTGTGCACATATTTGCCATCTTTTACATTCCCTTTATTTTTCTTCCAGTTCCACTGCCACACAACTGCCCCTCACCTGTATCACGAGAGAAACATGTCCTGTGAAACTTCCCCATATAGAACTCCAGTCCAATGATGGCAAACATGACGATAGCAAAGAACAGCAGCAATCCAATCTGCAGAAGAGGGACCATCGCCTTCATGATCGACTTCAACACCACCTGGAGGCCTGTGCAGACAGAAGACAAGCATTATTATTGGTCCATTTGTCCAGCATCAGCTTCTTAGTTATGGTAGGATGCTGGAACCGGCTTCTTGGGACTGGGATATAAGCTCCACAAGTTCACCAACCTGTCCATCCAATATGACTATTAATGGTTGGTTGTATTCTCCCTGGACATTTAACATTTTTATAAAATATATCAAGCTAAAACACAAGATTCCAGTTATGAGGGAATTGTAAAAGATGTGCATAGTAAGATGGCTATATAAACATTACAATATTTCTCTCACTCTTTCTTTTTACATATTTTTCATTATAGATATAGAATGCAGCAAGAAGACTGAGGCATTACAAGGCTCTCAGAGTGATGGGGAGAGCTTTGTGTTGGGGTCACCGTCAGGTGTCTTGTCCCCCCAAACTCTAGCTATAGCTAATATATATTACTTTTTTTAACATAATCTAATTGGTGAATGCTTGTGCAAGGTATTATGACTGACTTGCTTACTTTTTTGCTTTTCTGCATTTGAAGCTTGCAGATTTTCATTTATGTTAGCTGTGTAGATGAGCATTCTGAGACTGCATTTGATCAGCTTTGTGTTTCTTGGATGTACTCAGTGCTGAAATACGCTGATCTGGACCAGGAACAGATGCGTGAATTAGGCTCTTTAGTTTTCCGACAATAAATGTATCTGTTTTTACTGCACAAGGTCAATGCACTTTATCTCTGTTTATATTGAAAGACTGCTTTAATAAATCTGTCACCATAACAAGTGTCCCCTTTGGAAGATTGCCCCTCACCTCCTGTTTCAGTGACCACTGTAATATGTTGGATTTCCCATCACTTTCTATCTCAGTTACAGTGGTCATCAAGGACACAGAAAGCTCCAACCCTTTCCCACTCTATCCAAAGCTAAAAAAGTTTTGACTAGTGATACAATTTAAAGCAGGGCAAGCTTCAATGGCTTTGGTATTAGGTTAGTTGCTGCCCATATGTTTCCTCCGGCTGGCATTTTTTGTAACTATGAAGTTAATAATAAATGTCATTTCTAATGCTTATAAATTAAATGTGAATAAAGTTGTGGCCTTACCCTCAATCTAAATGTGCATGATGTGTTGTTACAGGCAAGGCCTTATGAGTATTACTATTCATTACTAAGTTACTGTTGCAATGTTTGTTGTTTTGTAAAAGTGTTTATAATATTGCTTAGTTGTCCTATGTGTCCTAACCCTTTGGGCAGTCAAAGACATTGGAACTTGCAAGACCTTTTTTTGGATCAGTAGTAAGACATAAACAAATATGAACTCTCTGTTGCTTGAACAGTATATCTGCCTTGGGGTGACGAGGGTGGGTGAGTGTGGATATGGCTGGTCACCATAAACCAAATAGTATATCTGTCAAGGGGTGATGGGCACCAGGGAGTGTAGATAAAGTTGGGGACCATAAACTGGTCAGTATATCTGCCATAGGGTGACAGGGATTGATAAGTGTAGATACAGCTGGACACTATATACTGGACAGTATGTCACCCTGGGGTGATGGGGACCAGGAAGTGTAGATACAGCTGGACATAAACTGGACAGCATGTCTGCCATGGGGTGACTTGGGCAGGGATGTGTAGATACAGCTGAGGACCATAAACTGGACAGCATGTCTGCCATTGGGTGATGGGGACTTGAAAATGTGTATGTAGCCCCTATAGATATAGATATATGTGTTCATGTGTATATGTGCTATCACAGCGATTTCTGTTCCTAACTGTAAGGAGTTAACTTGTCCTCGTGTGTGATCGCGTGTCCTCGTGTGTGATCGCGTGGCTGAACCGGCCGCCGGAGTAATCCAGCCAGCCCAGCAGAGAGAGAGGGAGCCAGACGGAGCCATTAGAGAGGACTGCGAACATCCTGGATGGGTGAGGACCTTTTGTCGGGGACCCAGATGACTTCCCTCTATGTCGCCTGAACTGGAGAGAGAGAGAGAGGACGTCCAGCATCTGCTAGCAGTCTTCATATCTTTCCAACTGACGTTGAGGATTGGTGAGAGGCCTTTGGCCACGTTGACAAACAGTTTGCTGTTCCCACCTGCATTACAGTAAGGGCCCCAACGCCGGCTAGCTTAGGACATCACTACTGGCCAGTAGTCTAGGAAGGGTTGGGCATTGCCAAAGAGAAACTTTAAAGGGACATACACCCCATTCAAGGGAGGACATTTAAAGACATTTGGCTGTGCGTACATTAGTGCTGACAGCAGATGGCTGCAGCTACTGGGTTGTAGAGTGCCTTAGCCTGCTGCTTAATATCATTTTGTGTGTTTGTTGGGTATACTATTGCCATGGTTGCTTTATATATATCGTGTTATTATTTAGGGGGAAACTTCAACGGGCCCCAGTGAGGGAGCAAATTGGGCGCCCACTCAACTTAACCCGCTCCAACGTTAAGAACGCAGCACAGAAACAGGAGAGGCCAAGTTCTGTGGTTAAGGCTTCGACTACCCCGACTACTAAATCCTCTCTCCGTGTGTTTACACCTCCATCCCCGGAACGCAAGACACACTATGTACCCTTCCGTAAAACAAAGATCCAGAAATCACGGTCAAGAAGAGTAAAAGTACAGAACTCTCGTGACATTCCACCAACGGAATCGAAAGATGGTTTCCCTGAAGAGCTGGTTGGCCCTGCCTCTGTTGTCCCAATCATTGGTGCAGGGGGATAGAAATATCCGGTTATTCAGCGGCTCCTTAGGGGGTGAGCGCTACATGTAAATGCAACTCGGCATCAGAAACTGGACATTATGTCTGCCATGGGTGATGGGGAGTAGGGACCGGTAAGAGTAGATGCAACTAAGCATCAGAAACCCAACAGTAAATCTGCCATGGGGTTATGGGGACCAATGAGTGTAGATACAGCTGGGCATTGTCGAATATCTTCACAGCATCCTTTAGGGTGGAGAGAAATACAGCATCACTTACTCGGAATCCCAGAGACGAGTTTCAGTGGTCTCAGTACTCTCACTGCTCTCAACGTTCGCAGGTCGAAGTCTGTGCCAGCTGTTGCCAGTATCCTAGATAAAAACAAAAGAGCTTATTAGTACTGCATAATAATATACTGTATGCAGGATCCATATATAATGTAGCAGATCCTTAGTGTGATCCGATGTTTTGTGCATGCAGAGCAAAGCAAAAGGTTCACTTAACTGCCCCCCCTACACAGCAGTATGTACTCACTTTACGTTGCTTCCTTGCCACTCTGTTAAGCAGTCGGAACAGAGGAGAGTAAGCTCTATATTACAACTTAAAGAAGAACTCTAGTTTTTTTGTTTGTTTTTTCAGATTAACCCTAGCAGTGGGGCTACCTCGGCAGGGCAAGGGTTAAGGTGTGGGGGGAGCCTCGCTGCAAGGGCTAATCTGAAAAAAACTTCTTTAAAGCTTATAGTGAACTGAGGAATCCCTGCTCACCCTCATGTGATAGCACCAGGTGCATGAGCAGCCAGTCAACAAGAAGCTGCACTGTCATAGGAGAGAAAGGGGAGCGAGTCACATGCTCTTCTATATTTGGAAGTACCAGGTATGTCTCTTTGCTTCCAGCAGACAAATAGAATGGGGGGAAAGTAAATGGAAGGCGCATATGTGCAGATGGGGAGGAAGTCAGTTAAGTAAACCTTTTGTTTTGCTCTGAAGGGGCAAGGCAGCAGTCCAGTTCAAAGCCGCCATGTCCCATTTGTACAACAGACGTTAAAATAATAGAGCATAATCAGCTATTCTCTAACTAACACTTCTATAAGGAACTGTATAAAATTACTCATCAGCAGCCTCGAGTTTGCTGCGGCTGGGGACACCAAAACACAGCCACAGTGTTGGGATATATGATCCCTGTCAAACAGCAAGATCTTTGCTCATGCTCAGTGTCTGACTGGCTTACTGTGCTTTGATGTCCACCAGAATGCCCATGTGACCAGCTGTGTTCAGATCTTAGCATATGGCCAGGTTCACACCATTTTCCATCAATATCTGTACCCAGTGGCGGAGCAATTGCCATAGCGACCCAGCAGCCGCTATGGGGCACGGGGCACAGGGGGGCCCGGCCAGGACATCCCTGTGATGCCGTGCGGGCCGCCTGGGTCGCTATGGCATCTCAGGCTGCTGGCTGTCACTGGCGCCTGTGAGGAGGAACAGGCCGCTATTCACATCACTGACAACCTGTCAGTGATGTATGCAGCGGCGCGTTCCTTCTCACAACCGTTGCTGAATCGGTGACAACCAGCAGCTTCGGAGGAGGTGGCTGGGCCCATCATCGGCAGCGATGGAGGAGGCGGGCCCAGCGATGGAGGAGGTGGGACCCAGTGATGGAGGAGGCGGGGCTCACCAGCAACCATGGAGGAGAAGGAAGTGTACAGATGATAGGGGCTGACAGGTAAGAGAGCTTGACCGCCCACCTGAGTCCCTGCAGAGCCCACCATAGCGAGTCTATGGTGGGTCCTGCAGGGTCATCCTCAAGTGGGCTGTTTGGGTTATCAGGTGGGCGTAACTAGAAATTACAGGGCCCCATACAAAATGTTGCTATGGGGCCCTGTGATTTCTAGTTACACCCCTGTCTGGACCAGATTGCGCTTTGCTTGTGTTTTTGCCATTTTTTCCCCCACAATTTTACTGCAATTTTGCCACGTTCCAGAGCTGTTTTTCTTTTGCTTTTTTGTGTGCTTAAAATGGGTTTTTAGGTGCGGGTTCAGTGCGTTTGTATGCATTTTTGATGCATTTCCATGCTTTCCAGTGCGTTCCAGACAAGACAAAATGAGACATGCAGTATTTTTCTAGTCTGGTCTGGAACAGACTGCACCGGTATGAAAAGAGGCCAGAAATAGCATAGGGATACATTAGGATGCATTTTTGGTCCGGAAACAATCTGTTCTGGTCTGGTCATGATCTGGATGTGGTGTGAACGGATCCTAAGACAGGAGAGTAATTAATGGCATATTACTCTTTTCCCCAAAATTGATTGTTTCCAATCAGATGGTCAACTCATAGACTTACATTATAGAAGGGGAAGTAGCATGCACTCACCATGCAAAAGCAGGAAGCAGACCCTGCATATGTAATGATCAAATATGGCTGCCCCCATATACATGTTGATTACATATTGCAGGAAGAAACAAGATTGTTATAACCTTAGTACAAATCAATACTAATCATGTGAAACCTTTATATGTTTATTTAGATAGAAGACCATATATTCCCTTTAATCTTATTACTGTGATTTTATTTACTGCCAGACAATAGCGCAAAAATCTGGGTGAGGGTTAATGAATGAACAAATATTTTAATTTGCATGCAGCGCTCTTCTTTATTGGGAGCAATAAAACGACTGTAGAAAACCCGGAAATTGTAAGGTCTCCACAGACCACTGACATTGTACACTTCAAGCTCTGATTGTATATTTTTGCTCTGTAGCTGGCATTACAGAGGGAAAAAAAAAAGAATGATTAAGCTGCAGAGGTGGCCCAGTGCAATAAGTTTCCTCCCCAGTGATCTGTGCTGAAGCGCTGAAGGAAGATTTAGATGGAAGGCTGAAAAAAGAGGATGCTTCACGGAATAGTCACAATATGAAATCAATCCGTCAAGCGCAGAAAGAAAGTTAGGCAGGGGCCAGATATCTTCCAGCAGTGTGTGTGTGTTTAAGTCAGTGGATAGAAGAGGTCAGGAGTAACAAATGAGACAACTAAAGTGAACCTTACTTTATTTCAAACTTTTACATCTGAAAATCCTTCACAAGAGCAGACAACACAAGATGTCTGATATTACTTTTTATAACGTCTCTTCAGTGCCCCCCTCTGATTTATTTTCACTTTGTTATTGGGGCCTGTTGCTGATTTGATGGCTATGCTCCACAAACTGTTATTTTACCTGTCCAACGAGGATGCATTTGCTGGCCACTGAGGCAGTCTAACTGGACAGAGTAATTGCAGCTGGCAAGAAGTCAGAAGGAGTCAGACTCCATTAACAAAATTAAACTAAATCAGAGAGGTGCACAGAAGGCTTTCTGGGTTATAAAGGTAACAGCGGGCATCTTGTTGTGTCTGCTCTCAAGCAGCAGTTTTAGTTTGAAACTTCAGAATGGGCACAGGTTCACTTTAAAGGAAATCTATCATTAGGGAAGTATGGGAGGGGTGCCATTTCTCAATACCCATATGCCCCCCTACATTCCTTACAGCATCTAAGACCAATAACAATGGCGGTGCTTGTAGGTCACTATGTTGCCCTGATGAAGGGACCCTGTGCGGCCCCGAACATTGGCTATGTGATATACGGTATGTGACAATGTGTTTGAATAAATGAACACCAAATTTGGAACTTCTTCCTCTGAATGCTGGTGATCTATGTTTCCTACTGATTGCTCAATGCCCAATACTTGGTCATTGGCCAAGAACAAGCATGCAGCCAGTAAAGTCAAAATCAAACCAGAACTTCTGTATACTTATTCCAGGTCAAAAGCTAAAAAATGTAAGCCAATGTAAGCCAAAAGCACCCTCTATGGGTGTGGGAATTATGGAAACAAATGCAGGCAGCCACGTTGATGATGTAACGTTGGGAAGGCAATAAATGGAGCTGCTAATAACTGAAACTTTACTAAGGACCATTGCAATGCCACGAATGGGTTGAATGGTAGAATAACAGAAGTATAGAAGATTATTTTGCAATAAGTGTGTAGATTAATATCCCCAAACCTCCACAGAATAAGTATGGTCCATTAAGGTCACCAGTAGTCCACAACGCAGGCTATCACTTACAATTTTGCAGGCCATCTCTTTGGGCAGCCACCATGGTTCCGCCACTCACACTGGACTCTGCTACCAATCTCACTAAAAAAGGCTTCTGTGTTGGCTTAACCCACCACTGGGAGTGCAGGTGGCTGGTCTAGAGGCTCCAACACCAGTAGCTATAGTAGAGTTCAATGTTTTAGCCTCAAGGGTTTTCCATTTTAAAGGATAGGTAGCATTGTCCTTGCCCTGCTACATGTGCTCTGAAGAAACCAGAGACACCATTCAGCATGCATGCAGAATCTTGGTGGTGACACCAACCACAAAGAAGAGCTGGACACATAAGTATGCCTTACATTGGTTCAACAGCTTTTTCCTACTGCATTATATTAGTATTAGATTATGATTTACTGTAAAAGTGAATGGTTAAAAGTAAAGTTAGGGCTTGGGTTAAAGGGATGGCTTACTTTGAGAGTTAAAGTGACATTAAACCCTCAGATTTTTTAACATAAAACAATACTGTAATGTGTGCCTTACTGTAATCCATGGTAGTTTCCCTTCTCTTTGCTGCTCTTCCTTTTAAATCTGTATCTGTTCTCATGCTGGGCAGAACTTCTGTTTTGCAGCAAACTGCCTTGTCTCAGGAATGGATACACGGTGTCTGTGTATAGATTTGTATAGGCTTGTAACCTGAGCCAGCACTACAGGAAGAGGTCCTGAGCTGAAAAGGGAAGTTCTCCCCAAGCATGAGAAGACATGAGGATTTAAAAGGAAGAGCAGCAAAGAGAAGGGAAACAACCATGGATAACAGTAAGGCACACATTACAGTATTGGTTTATGTTAAACAATCTGAGGGTTTAATGTCACTTTAAGGTTTGGAGCTTAGTTGAGTTGGGTTTATGGGTTAAGTTGAGCGTTAGCGGGAACATGCCAAGACATTTAGGGGTACACTTAAAAAAATTCAGTAATGGCAGTAGTGTGAACAAAGTGTACTGTTAACAAATGTGACTTGGTTGCTAAGCGACACTAGGCAGTGAAGCCCTCAGTGGGCAGGAAAAGGAGAAATGGCAGCCTTATTCAGGCTAGGTGGCCATTGGCTGTTATGGTGCTGGTGCCAGCTCAAGAACATCACAAACCTAATTACCAGTTGAAAGGATGGAGTTTCCTTCTGTTATTATCAGCTACCCTAATGAGTTGAAATATCATGCTGTGCTCATGAAATCCACACCTAATTGAGCCGAATGATCCCAGAAAGAGAAGACGAGATGAGGGTGTAGAAGAGTGATGTGGGAGTGAGTGCAATAGAAAAGGAAGAGATGCATACAGATGAATGAGTGAGAGTGCATGGGAGGAAGTGGAGGAGACACACAAATTGAGGAGTGAGTGAAAGGAGCACAGGCTGCAGGCCACACATACCGGATAGAGATGGGAGCTTAGCAATACTACTGCACTCCAGTACAACTTTATGCGCCGCTATCAGCCCTTCCCTCTATTCTACCCACTACAGTCCTGACTGTTTGGGAAAGGGGGGTACCGTTTATAGAAATGGGCTGCCAAGGGATGCGAAAGTGAGCAATGGTTGTGTACCACTGTACTAAAGGATAATCATGACTGTGGCTCTATCCTCTCCTAAAAGACCTTTGTGAAAGCCGCAAAATGAGGCTGTTGTGGGCTGAGAACATCAATGACAAAATGAGGCTGTTGTGGGCTGAGAACATCAATGATACAGCCAGGCAAAGTGGTGTGCTGATCAGTAGTGCACTGGATTGGCTCTGTGCTGCACTGAAAGAGGCCCTTAAGGTGCTGGAACTTAGATAAAAGTAATAATACTGACATTCGAGTGAATTCCTTCCTAGCAGCTGGACCTCCTCAGCCTTCAAGGAGAATGCTTTCAATATTTACCTTGTTGCGCATTGAGTGGCCACCAGATTCCTGGCTGCTGTTTCTCAGAGAGACCGATCGATTGGGCAATTAACCAGATTAACTTTGCAGGAATTAATGCAGGAGGCAGTAATGTTCGTATAGACAATGCAAGGTGGAATTTATTTAATAACGTTATGCTGCACACATTGCAGTGATTGATGTGAGGACACAGCAAAGTATGGGGTTGGTTTTGGCACATTAATCTCTAGGAAATATGGGCTTGTGTATGAAAGTTTGTGGAGGAAGGACTTTCTCTGTTGCCTATAAAGAACATGTGTGTTTTTAATGTATACCTCTTGTGGGTATTCTTGTTTAAGTAGGAGCTGCATGAGACAAGAGTAGGACTAAATGAGACACAGTTAGGACTGCATAACACAAGAGTAGAAGCTGCATGAGACATGGGTAGGACTTAGGTTTGCCACCAGTCTGGGATTCACCCAGACAGTCCGGTTTTTGAGTCTTGTGTGGTTTCCAGCCAGCTGACACCCGGACAAAAGACACTAAGTGCAGATGCTGGCACTTTAAATTTTTTGACAGATGCGGCTATCAAGGTCCCCAACAAGCGCGGGACCTCAGGCAGCCTTATCTGCCTGAAGCTTTATCTTCCTGTGTGCCGCAGGCTGCCTGCCTCTGGACCCCTGGGGGGACACCGCATATCCCCCACAGCAAAGCCTGCATAGCCCACCTGAGACCCCACGCAGCCACCTGAGAGCCCACATAGTCACCTGAGAGCCCACGTAGCCACCTGAGAGACCGTATAGCCCACCTGACAGTCCGCATAGCCCACCTCAGAGCCTGCATAGCCCACCTCAGAGCCTGCATAGCCCACCTCAGAGCCCGCATAGCCCACCTGAGAATCCGCATAGCCCACCTGAGAGTCCAAAAAGCCAAACTGAGAGTCTGTACAGCCCACCTGAGAGCCTGCAAAGTCCCCCTGAGAGCCCACACAGGCCACCTGAGAACCTAGAGACATCAGGGCACCCTCCCGTAACACAGCGTATGCAGCTTCATATTATCTTGCATTTGTAGTCTTCTATAGCCAGTCTCCTTACTCCCTCCCCTGGCTGCCCTCTCCCCGCTATCTCCTCTATATTCTCCCCCACCCCCCCTCCAAAACAAATAATTGCCGGTCGGTGCGCTAGAGTGTTCAGGTTTCACTTGAAGAAAAGGCGGCAACCCTAGTAGAACTGCATGAAACATGAGCAGGAGAGGCATGAACTACAAGTAGGACTGCATGAGACACAATTAGGACTGCATGAGACATGACACAAGTAGGACTTCATTAAAAATTATAGGATCTTTATTATACAGTACAAATAAAAATAGGTGTAGCCATGACACTGAATGCTTGCATTGCCCACTGAGCTAGTGGTTCCTCCCCCAAACCTCACTATATGACTCCGAACTGAAGTAGTGACAAGTAGAAGGAACCATGGCGGGCGGTGGGGGACACAGGCTTGAACACAGATTAGTTTTGACTCACCATCTGCCAGAGAGGTAAGTATACAGTGTCTTCTCTTGCAGGATAAAAACTTTACAATTTTTCTTGACAAGTGACAGAGTCACTCTAAGCTAGAACCAGATTAGACAATGGAGTAAAAGTGAAACACATCTTGCACATTTTAATGTTTTTATTATGTTATCTAAATAAAAATATAGGGGTCTATTCACGAAGCTGCCGAAGGATCTGGCCGTAGCTATTTTTCGGCAGATTTGGAGCGATTTGGCTCCAATAGACTTTAATAGAATGCCAAAAGAAGCGCTACAAAGCACGACAAAATGTGCACTGTAGTTCAATGTAGCTCAAAGTCACTCAGCTCAAATCAGCACTGAAAAAGCTTGTAGCTCAGTGTGAATGGGGTCTTAATCAATTTCTGTGCCAGCATCTCAGTCCAGGAAGTAGATGGTGACCTTGGAGGATGGCTGAACATAAATGGCGCAGTCCTTCTGGGGAGAAAAGCAGATTAATGCTTTGTCAGGGGGAGCACTTTGGTCTCTGTGACAGGTAATAAATACCTGGACGTGTTACACCTACATACCGGTATTACTTACCGGGTTTTTCACAAAAGGGTGAAGAGGTTGGAGAAGGCAGGAGAAGTGAACAGTCTAGGACAACATAGCTGATTTGGAAAAAAAACTCCAATTCAGTTCACTTTCCAGTTCAGCTATGTTGTCCTAGCTTGTTCACTTCTCCTGCCTTCCCCAAACTCTTCACCTTATTGTAAATAACCCTGTTACTGTGCATACACTTATGAAACATATTTTAAAGGTAATTTATCAAAACTGGAACAGACAAAATCTGGAGCAGCTGTGCATGGCAACCAATCAGCATCTCTCTTTCATTTTCAAATCCTAACTGACCAAACTGAAGAGAGAAGCTGATTAGTTGCCCTGGGCAACTGCTCCGGTTTTGGTCTGCTCCAGTGTCGGTATATCTGATGCTAGCTTGATTTTAATCTCCCTCTATCTTTGTTTGTATTTCTTCTGTTTTATTAAACTATACTTCATAACATTACTCTGATTTCCCCCTGCCGGCTCACAGATGACACGACACAGACAGGATTATAGAAAAAAGCATTGTGGTCTTTGCAGTTTGAGTCACCTTGCAGCGGACATGACTAAGTTGATGTTATGAAGAGATTAGTACGTCTAGGATTCCCAGAGCTCTTCTGTCCCTGGGGACGAGGTTCGTGATAGGACTCAGCTGTGGCGTTTCATATATACGCATGTCGTCAGACACACATACACACACACAATGTACGCACTTCCCCAAGGGTACCATAGTAGCCTCAGTTACATCACACTTTCTCTCTGTTGCAAAACTCTGTGACAAGATTACAAATGGCTTGCTTAGCAGCAAACCTACTGCTGATAAGGTGAACCGAATCTCAATGTATCTATTGCCAAAATATTTTGGGGAAGGGTTGCCATCACTGTCATGTGTATATTGTGGTCTATATTCCCGCTGGGCATACGCCTCTTTCTATTTGTACAGGCAGCTATTGCCATAGAGACAGAAATAGATGGGAAATCCAACATTTTACAGTGGTCACAGAAACAGGAAGTGAGGGGATTTTTTTTCTAATGGGGGCGAGAAAAAATCCCCTGTCGAAGAGGAGACTTGCCTTACTTTGGATAGACATCCTTTTTTTGTGTGTCTCTGGGACAGGAAATGAAGGGAAATCTCCTCAATTGGAAATACGCTTTAGGGGGCATCAAAATAAGCTTTAATATTTCAGCTTATGGGACCTAAAGGTTATATGTCACATCCCTCTTCTCTTGATGGGGTGAATAATTACTGTCTGTGCTGGCCCGGCTCCTCCACCCCTCCCCTGCAAGCATAACCTTTTAAATAGCTGCTGGAGGAGGAGTTAAGGGTAATTGTATGGAGAAGGGTTGGGCAACTCTGGCCTTCCATCTGTGCTTTAACTACAAATTGAATAATTCCTCTGCCTTTGGGACAGAGCTCTTTAGGCCTCATTCACACAGCATAAACTCGGGTGGCGTGCACACCCGTATAGGGCCGTTCCTGGAAGGGAAAGGAGCTGCATGTGATTGCATGCAGCAGCCTGTTTTTCCCTATGGGAGTACACAACCGTACGCACACCCGAATTGCACATGCTTACCGGTCCGGGTGTCTGCGCTTATACGCAGATAGGATTCATCCTGTCTGCGTCTGAGTATGGACACCCAGACCTGCACAGATGTGCAGTTTGGGTGTGCGTACAGTCGTGTACTCCCATAGGGAAGAACAGGCTGCTACATGCAGCACCTGTCCCTCCTGGGAACAGCCCGATACAGGTGTGCACGCGCACGGACATGTATGGCCCGAGTGTACGCTGTGTGAATGAGGCCTTAGAATGAATTACCGAAATGAGGACAAGAACCAGACTAAGCCAATTCATGGAAAGTACATTTTTGGAATCCAGCAAATTGTCTGCTCAGTTAGTAACCTTGTAAAGAGGTGCTAATCATGGGGCTAAGACAGCCATGAATTTTGATAAAATGCAGAGGACCCCTTTACCAGTTCACCTCACCAGTTGCATTGGAGGTACAACAGAAAGTGAGGGGGAATCTTCACAGGGGTTCTAGCCATTCCCTACTTTATCCAAAAAGTTTTAGATATTACATAGTTACATAGTATTTGAGGTTGAATAAAGACACAAGTCCATCAAGTCCAAACTATTGCGTGTATACATTTATGGTTGAGCTGGTGTGTGCGTGTGTATGAGTCCATGCGTAATTTTGCTCTTAGCGTGATTTTGCTCATAGGAGTACCTGTACCCCTGCATGTTATGGTCTCCAAGGAAATCGTCCAAGAGTTTCTTGAACGATTCCACACTCTTAGCTGAAATCACTGCCTGTGGAAGTGAGTTCCAGACCCTAACCACTCTAACTGAGAAGTAACCCTTGCGGCCCGTGTGCTGGAATTTTTTCTTCACCAATTTTTGGTGGTTGCCTCTAGTCTTTGTTATGGGGTTAACCCTAAAGAGTTTGTTAATAATGTTGCTGTCACCATTGAACATTTTATACAAGAAAATCATGCCCCCCCTTAATCTTCTTACTTCCAAAGAAAACATATTTAATTTTAGCAACCTTGTTTCATAGCTCAGGTCCTCCATACCCTTAATGAGTTTGGTTGCCCTCCGCTGGACTTTTTCCAGTTCAAGGACATCTTTTCTGAGTACTGGTGACCAAAACTGGACCGCATACTCCAGATGAGGCCGAACCAGTGATCTCTAAAGCGGCAAAATTATAGACTTGTCCCTGCAGTACATTCCCTTTTTAATACAAGACAGGACTCTACTTGCTTTGTTC